TAAATAAAAACAATTCTTAAAAAAAAGAGAAGTAGATATAAAGGTGATTGGTCTCAAGGTCCGACAGGAGGTGGGGGTGTAGTCCCAGGATACAGATTCCCTGGTGATTAAGGTCAGCCTGATAGGCGGTTTTTTGTTTTTGTTTTTGTTTTTGTTTCTGGTTTTTTTTTTTTTTTTTTTTTTTTTTTTACGTTTGTGCGTGCACTCACCAGAAAGACAGAAAGAGAGACAGAAAGTGAGAAATCACTCCCTGGGGGGACTGGCCACGCTGCAATCCCATCTCCATTCTCCTCTCAGGATCTTGGGTACACACGCACACGCGACCGGTGTGAGTTTTAAGCCACCAGGTCTGGGACTTGAACCATGGTCGACTACATGGGAGTCCAGTGACATAGCCATTACACTAACTGCTGGTCCCTAAGCTGTTGGTTTTACTAGGGCTGTGCAGGACTAGGAGAAGCACTTTGGGAACAAAACTATTTTAATTAAGAGGATTGTCTTCCTGGGAACTTTAGCTAACCTGAATGCAAGTCACTGCTGCTTTGGCTGAAGAGATAACCTTTGAAGTGCCTTTGGAGTAGAATTGGCTTCGCCTGGTTGTGCAGGTATAGGGCTCCATATCCTAGACCACAATGGCTTGATTCCCTTCTTTACCCTCAAAAATTTGCCAAGTCCCTGTGTGAACTAATTGGGCTTTAAATCATCCCAAAACTCTGCCTTTTTCTTCCTCTTTGCTCCTTGCCAGTACTTTGGCTTGGTGTTCCTTGTTAGGAGTTACCACTTCTTTTTGGCTGGATACCAAGCCGCCATTGCTTACCCTAAGCTCAAGACTTGTGAGCTCACCAGGTCCAAGGCAAGCTAGAAAGACATAGCCTTGTTTGATTCCTGGACCTGGTGGCTTAGAAAAACACAGGAGATGGTGGTGTGCACATGCTGAAAATCCCAAGAGGACAGTGAAGAAAGGACTGCAGCATTGTCATTCCCCTGGGTGGTGATTTCTCACTTTATACTTTCTCTGTTTCTGGCACATACCCTTTACCCAAAAAAAAAAAAAAAAAGACAACCTTGTCTTTGATAATTTTCACTTTGATGGGACAGGACTATATTTTTCCCCCAAGAGGGTAAATGGGCTCACCAGATTGATGAAGAGGGAAATAGCACCCCTCAATGGGGTTTTGTCATGCCACAATCCCTTCTCCCATTTCGCAATTCTGTTGGAATTTTAGACATGTGCACAAATGTTCCTGGTGTTTTATCTTTTAGAGATTTTTACTATAGGGCCTGTGTGGGAAAAATCACCCCCTGGGGGGATTGGCCATGCCACAATCCCTTCTCCTCCATTCTCTCAGGATTTTGGGCATGTGCACACACACACAGGCCTGGCGTGGATTTTAAGCTGCTGGGTCTAGGTTGGACTCAAACTGCAGTAGATTATGTGGGAGTCCAGCAATTTAACCATTATGCCATCTGCAAGTCCCACTTGTGTGTTCTTTTGTTTTGTTTTTTAAAACTGCTGACTTAAGCCATGGTTGGCTGTGTGGGAGCCAGCTCACCTAACTACCAGGCTACAGGCCATCCCAGGCAGGGCTTTTTGACCTAGCCATGCAAGGCACGTTAAGAGTCTGAGATTGGCCCTCTTTGCAACAGTACTTAGAATAGCTAATTCCAGACAGTAAATAACACCGTATCACCTTAGTTGTAGGCAGTCGACTCAGGAAAAAGTCACAGAGATATGATTTGACTCCTTTAAAATTCAATTTTTTCAAGAACCATGAAGCCTCATAAAGTAACCAAGGCCCTCTGGTTGGCCACAGAGTGACACGTTTTCCCAACAGATTCACAGTCACTCAGCAAATGGGATATAAAGCCTCGTTATGGCCTCTGACCTCACGTAATTTACCTCTCAAGGATGCTGGGCTTCACATGTAAGATATCTTGGAAGGCTTAATATATATATTCACAGAGATGTGAGTAGGTACACTTCAGCTATGTGGAGGACAGCTCCCATCTGTGTAGGGCCTTTGATAGCACAGTTGTCCAGAACGCCAGCTCTGGTGCCCATTTTCCTTGCTTCAGCAATTCTTTGCTAGGACTCACCGCCACAGGTCTGGTGGGCAAAACATCTAGAGACAAACTGTAGAACAGCCATAGGTTTGGTTAAAATGTTGGGCTTTGAGGCTGGCAGGTGGCACAGTGTTTAAGGTGCTGGACTTCACCTGGTTCCAGTCCTGGACCTGGCAACTTGCTTTCTCACTCTCCCTTTCTGTCTCTTGTCAAATTGAAGAATAATAAATTAAGAAAAAAAAAAAGATGTTGGGCTTGGGCCACCATGGCTTCAGTTATGTTCGTGGCTGCCTGCTACTCGTGATTTGGGTGTTATCTTACAGAGTGAGCTTATGCCATTTCCTGTCGGCCCTGGGTGTTGTTCCCTTGCTATGATCTTAGATTTCACCAACCTACTGGAGTCTAATCCTGAGGGCAAGTCTTGGTTCCATGAGGGAGAGACAAACTGTCAGGATGGTGCAGGATGAGGGGAGAGAACTTACTCTTAGTTCCCAACATTACGTTAAGTGACTAGGAAGGGACAAGACCGAAGCTAGCCTAGGACTGGCGACCACCACGAAGGGAAAGCAGCGGTCCTTGGTGGCAGGGGGCGTGGCCTGTAGGTCCCTCCCACCCACGCCAGGGTCAGCAGGCTAGGCTCTTCTGGGTGACGGAAACGCCCCGGCGGTACTTCCGGTCCCGCCCCACCTACGCTCCGCCTTCGACGGGTTCACGGCTTGATTATAATCAGCTGCGCTGGTCTGGACGCTGCAGCATGGACCACACGTGTGACGAGAGGACAGAGGATGGGAGCGACGAGGAGGATCCTGATTCCATCGAAGCTCCGGCTCGGATCCGGGACACCCCGGAAGACATCGTGTTGGAAGCACCGGCCAGCGGATTGGCGTTCCACCCGGCCCGCGACTTACTGGCAGCAGGGGACGTGGACGGGGATGTGTTCGTGTGAGTCCGGGTAGGGCTGGGGGCATGGTGAGCGCTGGGGTATTTGGACTGGAAGCTGAGAGGGACGGAGCTGGGACGGGGAGGGAGAGCAAATTGCTGGACAAGGAGAGTCTCAGGCCCTGCTGTTTCCCGCCGGATTATTGTACTGAACCTGAAGCTCAACAGACTCCTGCTTTCGCTTCTTGCCATTTTTCAATTCATCTTGCAAAAACCCTAATCCCACCACATCGCTCCCTTGGTTAAAAACCCTTTAATGGTCTGCATCTGTCTGCTTTAGATTAAATACAAACTCCTTAGTCTCTCTTTCAAGGCTCTTGCTTGCTCCCTTTTGCTTTCTGTATTTATTCATCCTCACTATTTCTTTTTTAAAGGGATTTTTGCTATAGGGCGCAAGCGCTGGCTGCAGAGGCAAAAAGCCAGAAATTACCACCACCGCCACCCTCTGAGGATGGCCATGTCGCCGTCCTTTCTTCTCCACTCTTGGGCACACGCGCTAGCGTGAAATTTAAGCAGCCAGGATCTGGGATTCAAACCACCAGCCAACTAGGTGGGAGTCCACCCACATAACCATCGCTCCATCTGCTGGTCCCATACTCACCTTTTTGTGTATCTTAAAGCCTCACCTCTTTTGTACATGTGATTCCATCTGCCTAGAAAACCTCTTTACCCCTCACTTTTACCTACTCTAAGTTCTCAACATCTCCCTCTTCTTCCATGCCCCAGACTAAATTACCTGTTAGATGCTGCCATGACACCGGGTGCCATTACCTTTACCTCTTAAAGTTTGTAATGATTTGTAACCATATATCCGTTTGTATAATTATTTGAATGCTGTCTCCTTCCCTGAAGAAATGTTTTCAAACTTTCTGGACCTTGTACAACAGTAAAAGTATTTTTTACATTATGTATGATGAACTAGGATAATTTCTGGTTTATTTTCTTGTTACTGTGAGCACACACACAAAATGCCAATTGCAGCTAATGGTTTATGGTTGATTTCTTGAAAGAATTAATTTTACTGGGACCAGCAATTAGCATAATGGCTATGTTGTTGAACTCCCATGTAGCCGACCACGGTTCAAGTCCTGGATGCAATGGCTTAAACTCAACTCTGGGCACGTGAGTGTGTGCCCAAGATCCTGAGAGAATGGTGGAGAAAGGATTGTGGCATGGCCATCCCCCTTGGGCAAGGGGTGATTTCTCGCTTTCTCTCTGCCTTTCTGGTGAGCACACGGGCCCTATAGCAAAAACCTCTGAAAAAAACAAAACAAAACAAACTGTGTTTATAGCCTGTTGCCTCTCTGCTTGCTTCCCCCTCCATTTCTATTCTTTTTCAACACGTGGTCACAATGTACTATAATTACGGCTTTCTGTAGCTTCTGCAGACCTGGAGTGCAAGAACTCTGTCTCACTGGTTTTTACATTTCTAGCTTTTGAGGTTGGTCTCCTGTCATTGATTAAGCAAATATCTTTGTACCTCCACAGTGGTCCATCTAGACCCAGTATTTCCTTAGGCTGGGTCTTTCAAGGGTGGTGAAGAGGAATAAGGGTGTAAGGTCAAAAAGTTGACCTGAGCAAGTATACTTTGAATGTATATTGAATGAAAATAAGAACATTTGACACTTACCAAAAATGGCACAGTAAGTTCTTTAGGGGTACAAGTGTGCAGGCAGGAACTCCTAGGTAGGTGGGAAGGTTGACCTACCTAGTTCTCTGCACTCCATATATCCCAGGCAGGATCTGGGGTCATTCATCCTCCTCCCCCCCTCCCCAGCTTTTCCTACTCTTGCCAAGAGGGAGAAACCAAGGAGCTCTGGTCCTCAGGTCACCACCTCAAGTCCTGTCGAGCTGTGGTCTTCTCTGAAGATGGGCAGAGTAAGTAATGGGGGAAGACAGCCAGCACTGGTGGGAGGGAGCAGTGAGCAGCACCATAACCTTGGCACCTTTACCCCCCAGAGCTTGTTACTGTCTCCAAGGACAAAGCTATCCATGTTCTAGATGTGGAGCAGGGCCGCCTGGAAAGACGGATTTCCAAGGCTCATGGGTAAGAGGAGCTGATTGTGTTAATGTGTATGGAGATGAGGGGTAAGGCCTGGAACTAATGGACAGATACTCCAGGAAGTTCTGCATCTGTGTTTTCAGGGCCCCCATCAACAGTCTGTTGCTGGTGGATGAGAATCTTCTGGCCACTGGGGATGACACAGGTGGTCTCCGGCTCTGGGACCAGCGGAAGGAAGGTCCTTTAATGGACATGCGGCAGCATGAGGAGTATATTGCTGACATGGCTCTGGACCCAGCCAAGAAGCTGCTGCTGACAGCTAGGTACAACCTCAAAGCTGCCTCCCTTCCCCTCACCTTCTGTGTTCCATGATACCCTCAAAGCGTGCTTCTAGTTAAGCCTGCTGTTCTTTTCTATATAGTGGGGATGGCTGTCTTGGTGTCTTCAATATCAGACGACGCCGGTTTGAGCTGCTCTCAGAGCCTCAGTCGGGGGACCTGACCTCTGTCGCCATCATGAAAGTACAGCTGAGTATGGAGGAATGAGGGTGTGTGTGTTAGGGGCTGGGTCTGAGGTGGTTCTACAGACATGATTTATCCTATTTCCTTGCAGTGTGGGAAGAAGGTGATCTGTGGCTCCAGTGAAGGTACCATTTACCTCTTCAACTGGCAGGGCTTTGGGGCCACAAGTGATCGCTTTGCCCTGAGAGCCGAGTCCATTGACTGCATGGTTCCAGTCACGGAGAGTCTGCTGTGCACTGGCTCCACTGACGGAGTCATCAGGTGAGGAAAGCCAGGACAGCCCTCAGCTCACAGGAAGGGAGGGCAGGTCACAGCTGTATCTAAAACTGTTCTTTCTCCACCCAGGGCTGTGAACATTCTGCCAAACCGAGTGGTAGGCAGTGTGGGCCAGCATGCTGGGGAGCCTGTGGAGGAGCTGGCCCTTTCGCACTGTGGCCACTTCCTGGCTAGTAGTGGCCATGACCAGCGCATCAAGTTTTGGGACATGGCCCAGCTGCGAGCTGTAGTGGTGGATGATTACCGTCGGCGTAAGAAAAAGGGAGGGCCACTGCGGGCCCTGAGCAGCAAGGCCTGGAGCACTGATGACTTCTTTGCAGGACTGAGGGAAGAGGGAGAGGATTCTGCAGTGCAAGAGGAAGAGGAAAGTGAGGATGACAGTGACTGAGGGGATCAGTTGAGTCTCAGGACTGGCTTTGCTTCCTGGAATGGAGCCCCAGAACTCAGGGAACTGATGTGGGGAAGTACTTACTTGCCCTGTAGCAGCTGCTCATTCTACCGGTATTAGAAACATGCTAAGCTGGGGCAAGACAGCACAGACACACATGTACACTAACCAGGGGTTTAATATAAATACAACCAGCACAGAAAAGCTTGAACTCAAAACTATATAAACCAAAATCAAAATGCCATGTAGTCCCTACCATTTGGCTTAGCCAGCCCCCCCAAATAAAAACCAACAAAGAGAAATCAAAATGACAAAGATTCATGCTAAGCTGTATACGTGGGGGATAAGGTGTGAGCCACACAGGGAATGGCCAAGCAAGACCATGGGGTCAGCTTGGACTCTGAGCTAGAAGGGAAAGCAAGGACCTTCACCATAACTCAAGCCAAACCTGAGCTGTCCCAGGGTGTACTGGGGCCCTGCTCCAGCAGGGAAGCATGTTGAGTCTGGAGCAGGGCTATGCCCTTCCCCCTCCTGGGATCAGACTGGTTGCCCAGGCCTGCTGGGTTAAGAACTGACACAGGCTCTACCTACCCATTCAGGCTGCCTGTGGAGAGAGGATGGGTCACTTGGTCTTAACCATGGTGCTTTCCTCATCCCCAGTGGACCACAAGAGGCTGGACCCAGACTCACTCAGAGCTTCTAGCAGCCGTGTAGACACAGCATCCTTGGCCACCTCATGCCCATCCTGCCCATCTGGGGCCAGCACAACCCAGATAAGGCCGCTGAAAGGCACTGGATGTCCAGGGATCACTACCTGGTACCAGAAGCGGTGCCAGCCAGCAGGTCCTGTGCTCAAACACTTGGTGAGAAACACTGGGTTGCCCAGCTTCATTCGCTGGCACAGTAGCTGCAGGGCAGCCCGAGCCCCTTGGGACTCTAGCTTGTCCTTGGCCAGGGCCAAGTGGCTGCCCTCCTGCTGTAGACACCACAATGAAGGACCTACAAACTGCTGGCGGAGTCGTTGCTTCAGCTCTGGCTTGAGCCACTCCACAGCCACCTGCTCTCCACAGAGGCGTGACTGCCCTGCAGAAAAAAGGCAGTAACAAGAGTTTAAACCCTGAGCATAAGCTTCCACACTCTAGGCTAGTGTCACACAGAAGCCCGTGTAAATTTAATTTACAGCCTCCCCATTTCCTGGTAGCATGACCTTGGATAAGAGAAGATAAAAAAGCCTAAAGAAGGCTTCTTTAGGCTCTGTTGTCTTTATTTGTAAAGGCGGTGTATTAACTGCTGCTTTCTGAATCTTAGGGAGAAGTACCTGTTGACACAGGCATTGTCTGCCTCATAAGCATCATAATAGCTAATCTTAACTGTGAGTGCTACCTGCGAATAAGGAGATGCAAGGGTTATATGGCATTGTTACTTAAAATTCCCAAGTCTGAGGAAGCAGGTACTAAGGAAAACACTCAGTTGGAGTCCCTTGGGCAAATCAATTTCTTAAAATAGTTTCCTCAACTTTAAAGTGCGGCCGCCAGACTATTTCCCATTGGAATGTTGAGGATTGAGAAAGGAAAAAAAGAAAGGTAAATCTAAGATCAAACAGTATAAGGTCACAAATTCGGTCTTGTTTGATCTCAACATTTCTGACTTGTAAAATGCCTGGCAGCACGTCTTCGCCCCCAACCAGCTCCGACCCCCCTTGCAGCTTCCACTCCTACCTTCCACCAGGGACTTTTTGGCCATGGCAGCGGCGCGGTGAGAGCTGAACTTGAGCAGCGCGATCTGCACGGGCGCCGGCGCTGGGCTGGGCAGGAGCAGCGCCTCCTGGAGGCCCGGACCCAGCGGCTGGAG